CTTAAGGCGAAGGGAGGAACCAGCCTCTGCTCCCAGGCTGTGCTTGTTGGAGGTGTGCGAGGCCTTTCTGCCCAGCCAAGGTGCTGGCCGGGAACCCCTTGCCTCCCCTATGGGCAGCAGTTCCGCGCCGGGGAAGCTGCGCCGTGCGGCCCCTTGCCTGCTGGGCTGGGGGCAGCCCCAAGCTGTGAGGGGCGCAGAGGCCGCCAGGCCGGCACGGCTCCCACCTGCTAGGGCCGCCAGAAGTGGAGGCTTCACTTTGGTCCCATTTGAATTTGGCACCTTGGCTGTTCACGGGTGGTTGTACTCAGGGTGCAGGGGCTGAAGGAGTCAGGCCCTGCCCTGTCTGTCTGGAGACCTGACCCAGACTGCCCAGATCTGATGGAAGTCGTGTCCGTTGCTCTCGGTTGTGTCCGAGGTCAAGAGGAGTTGGGGTAGGTTTGTAACCAATAACCTCCCGTCAGATCCCAGTTTGCTCACTGCTGCATTTAGAGCCATTATCTCCTGAAAATGTGTAAGAGGGAGAGAGGGGATGTAGCAGATTACAAAAAAACCCAAAGCCAACAAAACCACACAAAACCACACAAAACCAAAAAACCCAACCCATTATAATAAACCCCCATAAACCAAACCAAAAAAACCCCAATTTTTTGATGATGTACAGAGCAAACTTGTGTCCTACCAAAGAGAGTTGGGATGTCAGCTGGGGGAAATCCAATTCTCTTTCTTTTTTTATATGGAATACCTTTGCTGCTCTGAATACCAAAAGCCAGCAATATTGAAGTGTGTGTGGGAGATAAGCAGAATGATTTTCCATGTGGTATTGCATCAGGAAAACAATTTCCACGATGTCACTTCAGGTGGGCAACTATGCACGCCAGCGTCGTCACACAAGACGTCAAGTCCTGTGGGTAGCACCCGAGCTATCGAGTCCTGCCAGCGACACGCCAGAGGCTGGGAGCTACCAGCAACTGAGGAGCCATGAGTCCTGCCAATGGGACCCAAACCTTAGAGTCATGGCAGCAGCAGCAGCCTTCAAGTCCTGTCAGCAGGAGATGAGACATCAAGTCCCAGCAGCAGCTGACAGGACACCAAGTCCCAGCAGCAGCATGGAGGTGCCCAGGCATGAGCTGGCAGTGCCTGGAGCTGCCAGGAGCTCCTGGGTGGGAGATCCCTGCCTCACTTGCTTGGGTCCCCTCAAAGATCCTACTGGCGTGGTGGACCTGTGCTGTGCTGGCATGCCTTCTGCCCTACCTCCACCCAGCACTGAGCTGCTCTGCTGGCAGCCCATCATGGTCATCCAGCGCCTGCAGCTGGAGGATAACTGCTGAGGTGGCCTGCTGTCGCTGCAGCCACTTCCGTCTCCACATGGGGCCATGGCAGAGGCAGCAGCAGCAGAGCCCTGGACATTCCCAGCGCTGGGGCTTCTCTGCTGAGCGAGGAGAGTGTAGTTGCCCCGTGCCCCACCAGCATGTCCATAGCCTGTCCAGACAGTGGGACAGCGATGGACACAGCTGGCTCTGCTACCCACTGGAGACCAGGGAAGGTCCAGCATGGCTGCAGTGTCCAGGAGGAAGAGCCAGGCTCAGAGGACCATGCACAGCGCCTCCCATGGTGCCACTTCTGAGCAAGGTGGCCAGTCCCCATGGGATCCCTCTTAAATAAAAATAGAAGGAATGCTGAAAAGGGGCCATGTTTGGTTTCTTCCACACCAGTTTACTCATTGCTGCTGAACTGGGGGAGCAGGAGGGATATAGCCCTGGAAGCTGGGAGAGAGGGAAGGATATGGCTGTGGGCACTTGGGGAGAGGGTGGGATATGGCTCAAGAACTGGTAGAGAGGCAGGAATGTGGATGTTGACAATGGAGGAGAGGGAGGGATATGGCCCTGGGAATAGAGAGAGAGGCAGATGAGTTCTCGTGGACTTTGGGAAAGGGAGTGATATGGGATATGGGAAATAGAGAGTGGGATGGATATTGCTCAGAAACGGGGAGAGAGAGGGAGAGATACAGAGGTGGGAAATGGATAAACACAGGGATGCAGCTGTGAAGTGTGGGTAGGAGGGAGGGATATTGCACACAGGGAACTGGATGATCTTTAAGATCCCTTCCATCCCGAACGGTTGGATCGTATAGTTCTATGATTCAAATTCTATGTTGTGGGAAGAGTATGCGGAGCGGGGCGGGGGTCTAAGGGCGACCCTGACGGCAGTGCTGGTGGGGAGACAGGGCATAGATACGCTACCCTCAACGATGCCTGATGTTAGCATCTCAGCAGTGCTGGACCCGGTTACTGCTGTGGATGGAAGACCCTCCAGGGACAGCCTTTTGCCTCTGCCCCTTTCCGTCTGGGGGCTTTTCCCTTTCCCCTCTTGCCCTGGGCACAAACTGAAACACACGAGGCTCCTTCTGAAAGTCAAGAAACCGTTTCTAACGGTGAGGGTGACCAATCACTGGCTCACCGTGCGCATGCGCAGACAGCGGAGCTGCGACTACCGGGACGACAACGTCCGCTGCCCGAGAGGGGCGGGGCGGGGCCGGGGGCCGCGCCCCCCGCCAATAGGTGTGTAGCGAGGGCACTCGCGAGGCTTCGCTCTCCATGGTAACCGTTAGCCCGTAGTCAGCTGCCGGGCCCGGGCGCTGTCCCAGTACCGGTGGAGGGGTCGCCATGGTGAGTAACGGAGAGCCCCCGGTCGGCCCTTCCGGGCGGAGGAGGTTGTCGCTGCCTGGCCGGCCTCGCTTTCCACCGCGGCGCAGCGCCCCGCCGAGCAGCGCCGTAGCCATGAGGAGGCCGGGCCGAGGGGCGGCCCGGTCAGGTTGTGCCGGGGAGAGGCGACCCGTTGTTATGCGGGAATCGCTGCTACCGTCTGCTGTCCCGGGCATCCGTGCCTCCCCAGTCGGACTGGGGGGAGTTGAGGGTTTTGTAGGTTCCCGTGCCCCTGTTGCTTAACTGCGTGTCGACGTAGCTGGTTTAGAGATTACAAGTGGCTTCATATTTATTTCTTAGTTTAATGTCCCTTTGTAGTTGTTCTCTGGAGTGTGAGGTCTCAGCACTGGTGTTGGCATATGTCTTCCTTTCTGTCTGTAATGAATAGAAACTTTTCTTCTAAAGAAAATCCAGCTTCAGCAAAGATAACATTACTTGAGCTTTTAATCTGTCCTGTCATTTGCAAGATGTGAGACTTTGAGTCTCATGAGGAGCAGCTGAGGGAACTGGGGTTGTTTAGCCTGGAGGAAGCTGAGGGGAGGCATTATCACCCTCTACAACTGCCTGAAAGGATGTTGTAGTGAGATGGGGGTTGGTCTCTTCTCCCGTGTATCAAGCGAATAGGACAAGAGAAAATGGCCTCAAGTTGCACCAGGGGAGGTTTAGATCGGATATTAGGAAAAATTTCTCCACTGAAAGGTTTGTCAAGCATTGAACAGGCTGTCCAGAGAAGTGGTTGAGTCGCCATCCCTGAGGGTATTTGAAGGACCTGTAGGTGTGGTGCTTAGGAACATGATTTAGTTGTGGACTCGGCAGTGGTAGGTTAACAATTGGACTTGGTGATCTTAATGATCTTTTCCAACCTGAATGACTCTATGAGTCTTCAATTATACACATGTACATGTAATACAAAGACAAATTTATCCAAGAGCTTCCTGTCCCCTGCAATCCTCCTGATTCTGATGCTCTGTAGCTTTTTCTCTCTAATTATCTCTGATTTTGTATGGCTTTTCTGAGGGTACTGGTCACTTCAGGGCTTGCTTCCAAGTACTGGTGCTTTTAAAGGAGGAGCACTTGTGTGAGATATGTAGGGGTTACACATAGGAAAACGTGGTTGTTTTTTAACATACTAGTTAACATAACTATATGAAAGGCAGTGCAAAAACTGGTCAGAAAGCATGTCTTCACATTACTTACACTCCTTTTTACTTATTTTGGTGTATATTTGTCTTTGTGCTTATATCCTTACCTGCAGGCAGAGCTAGGCCTTAGTGAGCACCACCAGAATGAAGTGGTCAACTACATGCGCTTTGCTCGTTTCAAGCGTGGCCTGTGTCTCAAAACAGTGGATTCTTGCTTTCAGGACCTTAAGGACAGCAGGTACCATGGTGATGGGGCGCTGGTTCTGAGCAAGAACAAAACAAAATGTGATAGCAACAATTGCAGGTTTAAATGCTTCATGGGGTGACTTTTCTCCATGTACAAATGTATGTTCTTAGTGAGGAAGAAAGACCCAATAATTTTCCAAATGCTACAAGTGAAGTCCTTTTAGAGCTAAGTTGTTAAAATTCTTAGGAATAAACACAGATATTGACAGCATAACATTGCTTTATATATTGCTTCTGATGTCTAAATTTGATGTAACACTGTAGTGGGAGTAATGTTTGTAATTGTAATGTTTCTGATAGAAAATTTAAATACAATAACCAATTAGTACCGCCATGGTCATCTAGTAACTACTGACAGGGGATGTTTTCAGGACATTACATTATATGAGTGATACCTGTTTGGTGAGGTCTCATAGCAATGCAAAATTGTTGCCTTTATCTACATGACTCATTTTGACTGCTCTGTTTAGACTCGTTGAGGAGACCTTCACAGTGGATGAGGTGACAGACATGCTGGATGGACTGCGGACTGTTGTACACAGCGAAGTGGAATCGGAGCTCATAAATACCACTTACACCAACGTTTTACTTCTGCGGCAACTCTTTTCAGAGGCTGAGAAATGGTACCTCAAGTTACAGACAGACATCTCTGAATTGGAGAATCGGTAACATATATTAGACTGTACAGAATGTCTTTCGATAATAAGGAAACTTCCAAGTGTTGACTATTTGCATTCTTTTCCTAACAGTAGAAAACTATTCTTTTACTGTAGTATCATTGATAGGTTAATGTCAAGTCTTCTGTCTGTAAGGTCATGAGATAAACAATAATTTCAAATTTGTTAGGAAGATGTTTTTATTGGTAATAGTCTTACTTGAATTAATCAGTTAAGAGCAGGTGATAGGATTTGATTAAAAAGCCTTTGTTGTCCAAGTAGTTTATATTTTAATCAAGAATGCTGAATGGTACAGTTCTAATGCATATACTGTACCTTTGCATGACATGATCTGTTGCATTTATTGTATCTGCATAGAACTTCATTCTGTATAGCTAATGAGAATCTTACATGCGATATAAAGAGCGTAGCATCAGCCTGGTTAAGTGTGTTTCATAGCATAGCTCTTTCAGTAAATAAATGCTTTCCTTTATTTTTCTTTTTTTAAGAGAATTGTTGGAACAGGTTGCTGAGTTTGAAAAGTCAGACTTTACATCTTCAAACAAGAAGGTAGAGTTTTATTTTAATCAAATTGTAATCAAATGTCATGTGGAGTCATGAGAGATGTTTAAAATACTTAGCACTGACTCTGTGCTTAAGAGAGAAAAACAAAACCAAAAAACACTACCCTTTTTCAAAACAATCTTTTAAAGCCTCAAAAAAGGTAGCATTTTGCAGCTCAGCACCAAGGCTCACACTGAATTGCCTTGGCTATTTCCAGATTGTGGATTTTGCTCGCCTGGGACATGCCTCATGATCCTTATCCCAGAGGCAGCCAAACCAGGGATGTTTTGGAGCATCTGCTCCTGGGTCCTCTTCCCCCTGGAAACTGGGGTAGGAGCGGGACATTCACTTGTTCCAAGGCTTTGTCCTAATGTGGAGTTGAGCTGAGAAGATTTCACAATACAGACATGACTCTAGCTATTCTTATATGATTATGGTTGCACCTTATTTGGTTTGTAGATTAAATGCATATCTTGGTAGTTAATATATATTATATATGAGTACTTTAAATTATTTTGAGCTGTGTAAATATTTTTTACTCTTAAAATCACTAAAATATTTTTTCTCTTCTCCCTACTATTTTGTCTTTTGGTTGCTGCTGCATCAGTAGTCTTTTGTAAATTCAAGTTTGCAATCCCTTTATGTCTCTATACAGTGTTTTTGTTTAACTTTGGCTGAAACTGAAGTATAGAACTTAGGAGCCAAGATACCAGAAAAAAAATCGAACTTGAAATAAAAGGTCATTAACTTGCTTTACAGAAGAAAGCTGAATTGACTGCCAATAGTTGTTTTACGGACTAAATAAATACTTTTCTTCCTCCTAGAGAAAGGGATGTATAATTTATTTTTTTAACCTTTATTATTTCTTTAGCCCAGTGCAGATCTCATTAAACCAAAACTGGCTCCATTAAATGAAGGTGGTTCAGAGCTGTTAAACAAGGTAAGAACTTGTCTGTGCAGTTGTGGTTAATGACCATTCTACTTATTGAACTGAACTGGATAGCTGTGCAATAATATTTGTATAATGTGCCTGTTGCTTTATAGACATCAAGGTAATATGCCTCAGAATGTAAAGTAAAATGCTAATAAATTAATAAATATTGTAAAGCATCTTAAATTTATTTTGCGGTTATGGTCTCTAACATGTATTGCAATATTCATCTTCCTTTTGCAAACATATTTTGACCTTTGTAATTATTTATTTTTCCATTTAATGAGGTAAATTAGTAGAAACCAGTGTTCAGTTTGTCCATGCAGCTTACTGGCTTTCCAACAGGGAAATAAATTACTATATGTAGCTGGCTAAAATTATTAGGTTATTGGACATTTTCTATATCACTTAAAGTCAATTCTATTCTATTTCAGTCTTTCCTTTTCTTAGTTGGTTAAATTCCTCCTAAAGAAACAGGCATTTAAAGAGTTTGGAATGCACTAGTTTTGAAAATACCTGATTTCCCACTTGCTAAATTGTTCTTGTGGAATATGTGCACCTGATGTCATCTTTTTTCTCAAAAATCATTCAGAGTTCACATGGTGAATTTACTCTGGCTGATAAAGCATGGTTGTTTCCTGTGACACCAAACATGATAGGCAGTAACCTGGTATTTGTCTCTTTTAAACAGGAACTATGAATACTTATTTGCCTGTTGATTGAAAATGCAAATGATGAGCAGCAATGAGATTTGCATCTCTGAACATGCAATTTTCTTTATTGTGACTCTTGATACTGACAAGATGCTGAGCTCACTAATCTTGATTCAGTAAAGCATGTGCCAAATTTAAGTGGATGGTCCTATATATTATAGTAGAACTGGAGACTTAAACTTCTTGCTGACTGAGGCAGAAAGCACAATAAATAAATGGATTACTGATTTCTTATAAAGGTCGTTTTTACAAGCATTTAGAAGCTTGTTTGCTTTCCTAAGCTATGAAGTGTATTTTCTTACCTGAAATATTTGGAAAATTCAAATTAGCATAAGAGTGTTCACAAACCTTTTCTTATTCATTAACCCAAAGACAGTTGCTTGTCTCCAAGAAGAAAATGAAAAGTTGAAGAACAGGCTCAAGACCCTAGAAACACAGGTAAATTCCCTGTATGGTTGGATACTAACTGCTGTTTACATATTAAAAAATAAATAAGAATCCCATGGTTGTTATTCTCAAGTTTTCAGTTAAAATATGTTTCTGAGGTTTTATATTTTCAATGTATCACAGGCTACAGCTGCGTTAGATGATAAATCCAAACTTGAGAAGTCACTGAAGGATTTACAGATGCTCCAAGGAGATCAAAAGGTAAATATAATTAAGATTTCCCCCACCACCACTTCTGTTTAACACAACTGTTGCTTGTACATCAAAAAAGTTGGTCTGTGTGGTGTATTTCTTTTCTGCCAGATACAAATGTTCAAGTGAATGTCGTCGTGTTGCTGCTGGCCTGTCAGACAGCAGATAGTCCAAAACATTAGTTGATTTTATGACACTTATTTTGTGTCACATAGACCTTGATAATTTATTATCAGAAAGTATTAATCCAGGTTCGCTCAGGAAGTAGTATTCCAGAGTTCATATTCTCAGGGGTGATATTTGTATTAACCGATACAGATTTATTTCTGTTTGTTTCTTCCTATTTACTAATGAAAGAATGCTATCTAACCTGTTTTTTATAGCAACAATTAAACACTAATTCTTCCAAGCATTTGTCACATTTGGTATTGGCATGAACAAGCCAGACAAGTGCTTCTCACTTCAGACTTTAAAAACCTAAATATTTATATGAAAGAGTCCAGTGTCCTGTATTTTTAAATATCTATTGAAATTTTGCTACAAATGTCAATGATCATTGGTCAGATAAAATTAAAATTATCTGATTGTAGGTAGTTCTACCCATATCAGTTTACTGTCAAAAACAGTTCGCTGCTTATTTTACTACTAAAGGTTCTTTATATATGCCTGGATGGGCATACACTTTACAGGGTTAAAAAACTGGCTGAATGTCCGAGCACAGAGAGTTGTGGTGAATGG